AACAATACAAAGGAACATTTAAAAAATGTATGTTAAATTATGAAGAACAGCAGCAGTACAACCCATCACCCAGTTTAATGAAGAAAAACTTTGTCATCACCCAGAAGCTCCCCATGTTTTTCCTCTGGTCACATCCTCCTCCTTCATCCTCCCAAATCCCCACCTCCCTGAGTTTTGTGATAATAACTGCATTACTTTTCTTGACAGCGTTACTGCCTACACATGCATCAAGAATGATATGATCTAATTTAGCCTGGTTTTGAACTTTATATAAATGGAATAGCACTGCATTATTTTATGACTTGCTTCTTTAACACAACATTATTTGTGAGATTTGTCCATGTCATTATCTGTAGCTGTAGTTCCTTTAGTTTTTTCTTTTTTATTGCAGTATAACTCCATTATAGTAATATACCACAATTTATTTATCCATTCCATTATCGATGGACATTTGGGTTGTTTCTACTTATTGGCAGTTAACAACGTGCTTCCATGAGCATTCTGTTTTCCTGTGAGCATTTTTACCCTCTACCCTGGTGAACATGTGCCAGTGGTTCATTTGTATAAAAAAGTAAGAGGGGAATTGCCGTGCTGTAGGGTGTGTTCATCTTCAACTTGATCAGGTAACACACTTTAGCCATTTTCTAAAGTGGCTCCTTTTTTTTAATTATTTTATGTGATCAACGCAGGTAATAAAGTGGCTCCTGTTTCCTTTCCTACCAGCTGTTCATGAAAGGTACTGGTTCTCTACCTCACCCACACTGGGGATTGTCAGTATGTTTCTATTTTTGTCATTGGAGGTTGGAGAAGGAGAAGGGGGAAGAGTAATAGTGTCTCATGTGGTTTTAATTTGCATTTCCTAGATTACTAATGAGGTTGAGCATCTTTTTTTCTTTGATGGCTCTTTGTCTTTGGTCTTAATATAGTATTGATGTCTACTTATGGATTTATTTTTAGTTATCCCATTTTTTTGTGTTTTTTTTTTGAGACAGAGTCTCACTTTGTTGCCCAGGCAAGAGTGAGTGCCGTGGCATCAGCATAGCTCACTGCAACCTCAAACTCCTGGGCTCAAATAATCCTCCTGCCTCAGCTTCCCGAGTAGCTGGGACTACAGGCATGCGCCACCATGCCCGGCTAATTTTTTGTATATATATTTTTAGTTGGTCAATTAATTTCTTTCTATTTTTAGTAGAGACAGGGTCTCGCTCTTGCTCAGGATGTTTTCGAACTCCTGACCTTGAGCAATCTGCCCGCCTCGGCCTCCCAGAGTAGTTATCCTGTTAGAGATGGAATTTCTAATCTGACAAGTAAAATCTTTCATAAATTCTAGTAAAATCTCAGCCAGCATTTTTTCTTTCTTTTTTGTTACTTTTATTTTTATTTTTTTGCTTAGCCACAGCAGAACAGCATTTTTTCAAATATTGCCCCTCACCCATTTTCTCTCTCCTCTCCTTAGGAACTCAGCTGTGAGACCACCTCACTCTGTCCTCCTGTGTTTTCATCTCCCTTTCATATATTCATCTTTTTGTCTATGCTGTCCATTCAACTTTGTGTTTACAGTAGTATGTATTTTTTTCTTCTCTGGAAATCCATTTATTAATAGTTCTTTTTCAATTCTATATGTTTCTTTTTTACATTTTTAATTTCTTATTTTCTTAAACATATTAAGCATAGTTATATTTTCTGCTTAATACTTCTAGTGTCTGAATTCTTTGCAGGTCTGTCTATTATGCCCACACCTCCCCACACATACCACTTGCTGGCTCTTGTTCATGGTAACTTGATTTCTTAAAGTATTTTGTGATTTATTAATTTATGGGTTTTTTTTTTAAACCATGTGCTCATCAACTTAGGAACATTCTGTCTGAGAAGGCTGGTTTGAAGATACCTTTCTCCAGAAAGGATTAGTACTTGCTTTTTCTAGGTGCCTGAAGCCACTGCAAGCCTAGCAATACTTCAACCAAAGTCTCAGGCTGGAGGGTTTTTAGACCACACAAGTAGTTTTAGCTGCCAGCCCCTATAAGAGACAATCTGTGGTTATTAATTCCCAGGGAGATGTATTTTTCCCTCTACTCTGCACCTAAGCCTAAGGCAGTTTTCTTTGCTATCTGTAGCTTGAGGGTAGGGGGCTATTCCTGATTCACTCTTTAAGCCTTTTGGGAATTCTTGATTTATGTATGTTCTATTTCCCATTTTGGCTTGGCCCTAGGTTCTTTCTCTCTGCCTTCTTCACAAGAGGTTTAAGAAATTCATACTTGGCTGGTCCGATGGTAGTGGGTTATCAGAACTTCTTAACATTAGTCACTAAAGTTGGTATTCAAACCCCACTGCTAAATTTGACTGGCAAAAACAAAACAAAACAAAACAAAAAAAACTTCATATTCACAAAGTCTTTGCTTTGTTTTAAATCCTCAGTGTGAAAATCAGGTTGTGGGCTCTGCTTACAGTTTCTGGGTTCCAGCTTTCACTTGGCTGCTGGTAATTCTTCACTTTCTCGCTTATCTTGTGATAAATTTTAGATAATGTTATTACATTTGACCTAACATTTTAATTTTATTTCCACAGTAGTTCAAAGTATCTAATTCTCTTTACTGTAGGAAATGGCAGTCCTAGAATAATAGGCTTTTTTACAAGTTCAGCTTTGCATTTTATTTATTTATTTATTTATTTTTTTTTTGAGACAGAGTCTCACTTTTGTTGCCCTGGCTAGAGTGAGTGCCGTGGCATCGGCCTAGCTCACAGCAACCTCAAACTCCTGGGCTCAAGCGATCCTCCTGCCTCAGCCTCCCAAGTAGCTGGGACTACAGGCATGCACCACCATGCCCGGCTAATTTTTTGTATATATACTTTTAGTTGGTCAATTAATTTCTTTCTATTTTTAGTAGGAGATGGGGGTCTCGCTCAGGCTGGTTTCGAACTCCCAACCTCGAGCAATCTGCCCGCCTCGGCCTCCCGAGTGCTAAGATTACAGGCGTGAGCCACCGCGCCCGGCTGCATTTTATTTTTGATTTTTTAATTTTAGTTTTATTTTTCTTCATTTTTAGTGCTTTAATTTTTTTTTTTTTTTGGTGTTTATGAGGAGGTTTTATAAGTACCAGTTCAGTTTTAACAGGCTATATTTAATATTTACTGTTTTAATATAGACTGTTATCGAATGATGTGTGGTACATCTGTTTACTTGACCAACAAATATTTAATAAGTGCCTACCTTGTGCCAGGCACTATTCCAGGACTGAGGATATAGAACTGAACAAAATAGACTAAAATCTCTGCCCCCCAAAGAGCTTAGATTCTTGTAGGGAGGACATGGATATGTAGTACATTGGACAGTGATAGTGTCAAGGAAAAATAAAGCAGACAAGGGGCCTTACATCTTTGGAGAGAATAGCTCAGCTCAGAAATACCTTGCAGAGAGGATGATATTTTTAAAGAAAAGAGGGTATGAGCTATCAGCTCTCCAGAACAAACAACTAAATGTTTTATAAATGCCTAAGAGAATAAGGAATGATAATTCCCTTTAGTTTTATATTTATACAGTGTCACTAATGTTGCTTTTTATTCTTTCTTCTCTCTTAAATCTCAGTTTTCTCTTGCCATGTCTTAACCTAACCCTGTAGTTTTGGTTCTCCAGCCAGAACTGACTATATCATCTTGGACAATTTTCTTATCCTCTCTGAGTCTGCTTCCCCTTGTGTAAAAAAAGTACTGCCTACCTCTCAGGATTGATAGATGAAGCAAGATAACATTTGTAAAAGTGCCTGAATGTCATGGATACTCAATAAAGGGTGATTTCTTTCTTCTTTTCATTCTTCCTTCCCTGTCCACACTCTTCTCAGCACTTGTTTTCAACACTTGTTGATAAATTTGCAATGGGGTGATTCTTATGCAGAACCATGGAGATAGCATGTTGTAGATAATTAACTAAAGACAAATTAGGAGAATTTGAGTGTTTGATTTTATTTTAAAAAAACTACTATCTAAAGTGTTTTTTAAAGGATGATTTGATGCTCATGGCTAAGATAATAAAGTCAAACTGCATTTCCCCAATATTTTTTATTGTGTGGTATGCAGTATAGCAGCCCTAGTAAATCCTCATTTGTATATATAACAGTCTGCAGAATCTACAGTTATAGTCAAAGTCAGAGCAAGCAGAGGCATACTGCATGCATGTACATACGTAGTCGAGTTTCTACTATTCGTAACCCCAACTGGCACTAATTTTGCAGTGTTCATTGGTGAGTTTTATTGAGAATGTTGGTGTGCCACTAACGATGGAGGAAATGTAAGGGTGAGGGTGAAACTGCAAGACTCATGTAGTTTGGGTTTGAATGAAGCTGAAATCTAAATTTAGAAATAAAATTAGACCCTAAAGTAACTCATATTCCTCTAATGAGATTTTCTTTGATTTGAAGGTCCTGAGATCTTAGTTTTCATACTGGTTTTGGTACTGACTCACCATGAGTTCTCAGTCCATTAGTTTTCCCTGTCTGCATCATGAATGATACTTCTTTTTTTTTTTTTTTTTTTTTTTTTTTTTTCAGAGTCTCGCTTTGTTGCCCAGGCTAGAGTGAGTGCCATGGCGTCAGCCTAGCTCACAGCAACCTCAAACTCCTGGGCTCAAGCAATCCTCCTGCCTCAGCCTCCCAAGTAGCTGGGACTACAGGCATTCGCCACCATGCCCGGCTAATTTTTTGTATATATTAGTTGGCCAATTAATTTCTTTCTATTTATAGTAGAGACGGGGTCTCGCTCTTGCTCAGGCTGGTTTTGAACTCCTGACCTTGAGCAATCCGCCCGCCTCGGCCTCCCAGAGAGCTAGGATTACAGGCGTGAGCCACCGCGCCCGGCCATGAATGATACTTCTTACACTGGACTTCCTTGCCTTGTATGGCTGCTGAGATTTCATAGGATCTGAGTGACATTAAAGTAAGACAAGCACTAAAGACAAACAAAGTACAACTATTTATATTGTGTGCTTCTGGGTTTTGGTCTGTCCCCAGCCCTACCCTTGACTATGCCCTGCTGGACGTGCCCTTCCTTCGACTCCCTAAGGAGATGCCCTCTGACCTCTGAGAGCAGCTGGACCACCCATTCTGAAGACACCAGCAGTCCTAGTTTTGGCCGTTCATACACAGACCTGCAGCTCATCAATGCTGAGGAGCAGATGAGTGGCCGGGCTTCTGGGGCTGACTCAACTGGTAAGATGGAGCCCCAAGCCAGAGGGCTTTGCAAATCACTTCTGGTGTTCTCAGGTCCTCCTTAAGGTCATCTTAAAATCCTTACAGCCAGCTTTGTTTGCAGAATGAGTACAGGTATAGTCATCTGGTCAAAAAGCTAGAATCCAAAGTAGTTTGGAATTACACTGGGAAAAATGTATAAACACATTGGCTGATGGGTTGGCAGATTATTCATACTGGGAAACCATTTGACAGTGTATCTTAATGTGTTATTTTCTCACTGTTTGCTACAAATACCATTCCTTACCAATTTATTTTCTCCTGGGATTACTGAACTATGTGTAATATGCACAAGGCTGAATCTTTCATCCTGCCACCCACACATCTTCCCTCTTCAGCAAGAAGGAGGTAGATTTAAGCAGAGAAAAAGTGAATGTTATGTGAAGCAGAATTTTGCAGTTGAGTGTTTATTCTGTTGTGCCTCAGTTTAGCAATGTAGCCATGTCCCATGGCTCATATATTAAACTTTCCAGTGGTCATAGGATGGAATGCTGGCTTTCTTTGCAGGTGGAATATGGATGGGTCTGTCAGCAACTACTGTATTATGGGCAAGGTTTGGGATGGCATTGGAAAAATGCTGTATGTTCTTGGCATTCTGGTTATTTGGCCCGAGAGATTGGTTTCCTTTGAAAGTGATAGAGTTACTGCTAGTTTCTCTGCAGATGAAATTATCCAGCATGTCAACACTATTTGTTTTTCCTTCTCAAAAATATTGTCTAGAAGTTTCTAGGTCATTTTTCAAATTTGGGTAATGTTTGCCCTCATGCTGTGTGCTGTTGGGTTCTGCAACAGGGATCTTTCTTGCAGACAAAAGGGTTCAGAAAGGATTTGGTTTGGTATTTCATAATATTGCAGAGGGATCCTAGTTTATTACACACTTGCTCTCTCTTCACAAGCCACAGTTCAATGCGGTGTTTTGTTTGCACAGACAGTCCTTCAATTCTGGTTAGTCTCTGTGTCTGATGATCCCGGTCAGTGGCTGAAATATGCCTGTACAACCCCATTTCCACTGTGGGGGCATCTCACGGATGGGAAGGCACCTTCAGCAGCTGAGCTGTTGGGAAGGGAGGCTGAGCTCATTTCCCCACTTCACCTCCCCTCACTCTCAGCCCTGTTTCCAGGCCTTCCTGTGGAGGAGGCACACATGGCTTGGGTGAGAGCGCCCAGACTCCAGAGTCAGAGTGCTCAGGTTCAAATCCTGGTCCTGCCATTTACCTGCTGTGTGACCTCAAGCAGGATCCTTACTATCTTTATGACCTCTGGAAAATGGGAATAATAATAGTGATTACCTCACCAAGCTGTTATCAGCTTCAACCAAGACAATTTATGTAGAACAAATTACCTGATGCCTGACACAGAATAAGTGATCATCAAGGATGAAACGGCTTCCCTTTTCTGCTGCAGGGTTCTTGTTGCTTCAGAGAAATGCAAAACGGGGTCCTCACTGAAGGAAAAGTCAGGATCTTGGGGCGTAAGCTGTTTTTTTTTACAGTGGCCATTCTACATCAAGTGATGAAAATCAGAGTCCTAGCCTGAACTGGACATTATTAATCTGTCTCCAAAGCTTATGATTATTTTTAGCATCTCCCTTTTCTTTCTTTCCTTTTTTTTTTTGAGACAGAGTCTCACTCTGAGTGCCGTGGCATCAGCCTAGCTCACAGCAACCTCAAACTCCTGGGCTCAAGCAATCCTCCTGACTCAAGCCTCCCAAGTAGCTGGGATTATAGGCATGCACCACCATGCCCAGCTAATTTTTTCTATATATTTTTAGTTGGTCAGTTAATTTCTTTCTATTTTTAGTAGACACAGGGTCTCACTCTTGCTCAGGTTGGTCTCCAACTCCTGACCTTGAGCAATCTTCCCGCCTCGGCCTCCCAGAGAGCTAAGATCACAGGCGGGAGCCACCACGCCTGGCCTAGTGTCTCCCTTTTCTAAAGTCTTTCTAATAGTTCACACCAAGAAAACTTCCTCCCCTGGTGTTTTGGTCAGCGTCCTGGCAGGAAGGTGATGGTGCCCTAAAAAGGGTTTATCTGGAGACGTTAATGAAGGGACAGAGGAAGCAAGAGCTTGAATCATAGAGGAGGGCCTGCCTAACAGATAGATGCTCTGGCTGTAGGAAGGACAGGTCCACTGCAGAGATTTGACCAAGCAGGGAGATAGAGGGGAATAAATACTCAGATCTTGTGCTGGTGTTTCCCTTGGCCGATCACAGCCAGCAGCCAAAGGGCATGAAGCCCCAGTGAGGCAGCCTACAGAGTGCAGCAGGTAGAGAGTGGATATGGGGTTGAAGGGGTGGAACAAACGGAGAATAACCAACAAACTTTGGTCCCCACCAGGAACTAAATGGCGCCTAGATCAGGCTTGCTCCAGACACTCAAATGTAAAACCAGGCCTGGAGTATGAGGAGGAATGTTCTCTCCTTTAACAGGAGGCGGTTTCCACAGCTAAAGGGAGGGTAGAGGCATGGCCTTTGGGTACCCATCCTCTTTTATAGGAGCAATAATCATAGCCAGCACTTACTGTGTGTCAGTACACGAGGCGTCTTATCTCGCGTGTGTCCTTAACAATAGTCCTGCAAGGCAGGTCTCATTCTCCCCATTTTCTAGCTGACATCAGGTCTCAGGAAGGTTAAGAAAAATATTTTAGGCTGGGCGCGGTGGCTCACGCCTGTAATCCTAGCACTCTGGGAGGCCAAGGTGGGAGGATCGCTTGAGCTCAGGAGTTTGAGACCAGCCTGAGCAAGAGTGAGACCCCGTCCCTACCAAAAGAAAAAATAGAAATTAACTGGACAACTAAAAATGCATAGAAAAAAATTAGCTGGGCATGGTGGCGCGTGCCTGTAGTCCCAGCTACTCGGAAGGCTGAGGCAGGAGGATTGCATGAGCCCAGAAGTCTAAGGTTGCTGTGAGCTAGGCTGATGCCATGGCACTCTAGCCCAGCAACAAAGTGAGACTCTGTCTCAAAAAAAAAAAAGAGAATACCACTGAGAAATGGACAACCTGGATTTTAATCAAAATTCCAAAGCCTTTTTCAGTGGTTTCCCAAACCTGGTGGTGCCCCCAAGTTACCATGGTAACCAGTTTGCTGTGTTACCCTCCAGACTGTCTTCTATACGGAGGATACATAAAAATATAATACATATATTGCATTAGGGGTTATTTTTAATATAAAAAGGACCAAGGGATTTAAAATAAGATATTTAGCAGGCAGAGCTTAAGGAGAGGATAAAGTTCATATTCCTTAACAGATATAAATGCCTAAAGATAATTGTTATATCCCCACAATATTATGTTATATAAGCAAGTTTGTGAACACACGCCACTTTGAAAAAAATCCTATTCTTTAGTAATCTGGCAAGGGCCCAGGTTGGCCCAGGTGCTAGAGAATGCTTCTATCTGCTTATAATGGAATAGTATTCATTTGCATCTCACCTCCATCCACCCCTCCAGGCCCCAAGGTGACAATCAGGAACCTCCAAGACCCTAGAAGATGAGAGGCAGTGAGGTGAGTCCTCAGCAGTTCTGCAGGGTCTGGATGCAGCCCGAGCTATGGGAACCCCATGAGGCTCTTCCCGAACATCCCGAGCTGTGCAATCAGGGTGGAGTTCTGGCTTTGAAAAGCCTTGAACATATCCAGAGTCCTAGGATAGAAAGAAGTGAAAGAAAAGCAAAGTTTAGGAGAATGACCAAGTGCTTTTAAACCTGTGGCACTTACCCCAGTAGGTGGGGAATTTTAAAATACTTTCAGTTGAGCTATTGAGAGCTTTAAGAAAATCTGTCCACACTGGAAAGACCCTCAGCCAGGTGATGACCTCTCCTCACCTGGCACCAGGCCTGTGGCAGTGCCAGCCTCTGGGAAGCCCCACTTTGAGGCTGGATGGTTCTGTCGGGGTATACTGAATTCCTCTGGGGCCCTGGGGCAGATTCCCATTGTCTCTCTCTCCTCTGGGCAAGCCATCTTTCCAAAGCTTCCCTTTCTCATCTGTGAAATGGGGCTAAGAGTCCCTGCCCAGGCAGGATGACAGGGTGTATGTGAAGGTGTTTCATATAGTGCAAAGAGCAGTAGGAATAAGAAAACACCCTAATGTGATATCTCTTTGCCTCATTTCCCTTTGATATGGGAAATAAGGATCATTACTGCCTACTCCTTTATTACCCCCAAAAGGACTGTACGCATGTGGGATGAGATCTGAGAGGGGCTTTGCATTTCTCAGCCCGCAAGTGCTAAGTGAACACAGAGAGGTGCTATAGGAACTGCCTTGGGGAGACTTTTGTCATCGATTCCTCACCGCCCCCCCCCATACCCTTTAGCATTGTGGAGGCGGGTAGAGGATGAAGAGCTCCTCGTTGGGGAGCCGGGCTCTCCCTCCCAGCGCAGTGTGAGGGTAATGGACCAGGCAGGCGTTCTGTGATTCACCTCCCACATGGAGAGGGCCTGTGGTGCCCCCGGCCCAGCCTGTTTACCTTGGCCCTGTTGCTTGGTAGTGGACTGCAAGGAGCCCAGCCGCAGCCCCTTCCCTGTCATCTGCGGTGGGAGTTCTGCAGGGATTTGGCAGCCGCCTGGGGCAGTCCGATCCCCAGCATAATCGTGGAGGGAAAGACTCTGTGATCAGCCTACACTTTCTTCTCATTTTCTCACCAAGGGGATAATTAGGAGGAAGGAAAACAAATCTCCTCACCTTGGTTAAATCACAGGGTGTGGAGCAGAGCTAGAGAATAGTGGTGATGTTTGCTCTGGGGTTCAGCTTTTACCCTCCCTCTCTGCAGGGTCCCCTTTGCCTAGATGAGCCGGGCACATCCTGTTGTCTTCACCAGAGTAGCTCTGAAATGCCACCGGGTGTACATGGGTTGATGAGTAGTAATAGGGTCGAGGGAATAAAAACAAGCCTTCTGCCTTTGAAGTCCGTTTCAACTAGGGAAGAGAAAACACATAAATGTTTGCAGTAGGACAAGCTGCTGTTA